GGTTTTGGGGGGGGGGGGGGGGGGGGGGGGGAATGCTGGGGGTCCCCCCCCACCCCAGCATGGGGGGGGGAAGGTCTTACCTGCCCAGCAGTGATGAGGGGGGGGGCTTTTTTAGCCCCTGCCTGGCCGAGCCCCCTGCCCGCGGGCAGCACACTGCCTGCAGCTCCGCATCACGCCTCCTTGCCCTCTGCAGCGGGAGGCAGCTGAAAGCTCCTGGGGGCTGCCAGAAAAAGAGACTGCATTTAAACAACAGACATAATTATGCTTTTGATACCGTCTGCTAAAAATACAACGCGGTGCCGCGCGGGGAGCCATGTGTGTGCGGCCTCACATGGCTCCTGCTTGGAACAGCTGACTCAGGCTGGGAGCCCAGCAGGGACCAGGGGCAGGGGGCACCCGGACCCCCGTTGTGGAGGTGCCAGCCTGCGGGTGGGTGCTGCTCTGGCAGGGACCCCCCAAAACAGCTGGCTTGGCAGCAAGGGGGGCGAGGGCCACCCCAGCATCCCCTCCCCACCTTCCAGAAGGGCAGCAGCCCCCAGGTTGGCTGCAGTAAGGGTAAAATGAGGTGGGAAAGGGGCAGGGAGGGAGGCGGGGGGGCTGTGTGAGTGTGGCCGGGTCGTTCGGTGGCACCAGCATGGGTTTCGGGGGGCTCAGCCGGTACCCAGCCCTGGCAGCAGCATGGGGGGATGCACGAGGATGCCGAGGGGTGGGAGCGGTGGGGCACCGGGGACGGCACCCAAAGCAACCAGCGGATCCCCAGAGAGGTCTGGCGGGCAGATCCTGTTAATGAGTAACGGCCCCCGCCACCCTGTGACCCAGCGCTCCCCGGGGAGGGAGGAAAACCAGCCACCCCCCCGCCGCAGCAGCCCCTGGGCACTGACCTTTGGCGGTGCCAAGGCACCGGCTCATGCCGTAGACTGCTGCCCTCCAGGAACGGGCAGTGCCTGTCCCAGGGGCACCAGCTGCCCAGGGTTTAGTATCCTGCTTCCCCGGAGCATCAGACGTGCGCCTGTGTCATTGGGAGAGGGGACACCCCCGCATCACCTGGTCCCCCCCCCGGCCAGCTCTCACCAGAGCGGAACAAAGGGACAGAACCGCTTCCCTCGACCTGCTGGCCACGTTTCTTTGGATGCAGCCCAGGACATGGTTGGTTTTCTGGGCTACTTACGGGGGAACACAAGCCACCCGGCTTATGCGACGTCCTGCGAGCCCCCTGCACCGCAGGGGTACGCTTCGCCCCACTCCGGTGGGGACCCCGCAGCGGTGCCAGCTGGGATTCAGCCCCCCCCACCCAGTGCCAGCACAACCTGGCACCCCCTCCCCGGAGAGGACTATCGCGGCGGCCGGGCGAGCTCAGGTCAGCCACTTAATTGCTGGGCTGGGGAGCTGCCAGGCGAGGGAGATTACGGCTTTGCTGACTGCAGCCTGGCACAAGCCCTCGAGCTGACACAGCTGGGATCAGCGCTGGCACCGGAGGGGGCCGACTCGGCCCCGAAGGGACAGGTTGCACCACCCCGGGGGCAGCTTTTGTGTCCCCTCCTTGAGTTTCTCTCCCTGAGGAATACACAGGACGCTTGCCAAAACAAGGGTCGGGTGCCAGGGCTTCTGGTTCCCTTCCCAGCTCTATCTTATAAGTCACCGGTGCTTGTGCCTCAGTTTCCCCAAGCTGGGAAACAGAGCAGTCCCCGCTGACCTCCCACCCCAGGGAAAGACGATGCTCAGGCTCCAACGCTGCTGCCGTCTCACTCACAGCACAGCCCTAGCCCCTTCCCAGCCAGCCCTGGGGCCATCGTGGAGGAACCCCGCTACCCAGCTCAGCATCCCAGCACCAGTATCCAGGGCAGGCAGGCAGCCCCAGCAGCCTCCCTGGGCTGTATCCTTGGAGGAACCGCGCTCCCTAAGCGGCTTTAGGGGGATTACGGGCAGCCCCCTGGCCCTTGCGCTGTCCCCACCCAGCCTTCCTTCTCCGCCGCTTTAAGTAATCGTCTCTGAGACAGTTTTACATCGCTAATCCAGCCACCTCCACCTAATCTGCCCCAACACCCCTGCCCGCCCCGGGCTGCCCCCCTGCCCAGCTCTGCACTGGGACAGCTGCCACCCCTGGGGCAAGCAAAGGGAGGGTGGGTTGCAGGCAGGGGCAGACGCTCTCCCTGCCCTGAGAAGACCCCCAAAGGCAGAAAGCAGCCGGGGGCTAAAAATAAAGCTGGCCTGAGGGGTGAGGGCAGGAAGGATTGGGAGCGAGGGGATTGATGCCAGAGAGCAGGGCACCAGGGGACAGGAGGGCTCCCGGGGGCAGGAGAGGCAACACGAGCAGCGTTGTCACCTCGTGCCACCCTGCCTGCCCCAGAGAAGCTTTGTGCCCCACGTCCTCCACTTGGGCAGGGGACAAGTCCCCAGGGGAAGGAGCAAAGGGAGCCGAGACCCCCCGGATGAGATAGGGGAGTCCCGGGTAGGGAGAAGGCAGCTGGCCACGGCCAGGGCCATCATGACAAGCCAGGGCTGGCGGCCAGGATGGGGAACGTCTGCCTGCAGCCCTGGCTGCGTGCCGGGGTCCCAGCGGGGCCACGGCTGCTGCTGCCGCGCCGCGAGGGACACGGCTACTGCAAGGAGGGGCTGAAATGCATCCCTGCACCCCACCACCCACCTCCCTGCACCCTCACTCCTGCTCTGCCCCGTGGAGACCGAGCACGACAGCTTCCCACAGCCCCGTGCACCCCAGAGAGTCCCACACAGCCCCAGCTCCTGGGGAAGGGGACAGCATTTAGGCAAAGGGGACAACTCCCGTTTCTGAAAGTCTGAAATAACATTTATTTTTCCACGTACAAAACCCCCGTCTGCAAGGGGAGAACATTAAAAGCCGTGTGGTTTCAAGCAGGGCATGGTCAGGCACCGGTGCCCTGGTTTCAAGTATAGGGGTGTCAGCCTGCAGCTGTGGGGGGGTCCCTGGTCAGGGGCTGGGTCTTTGGCTTCAGAGGACAGATGGGACAAAGGCACGTCCCCTCGCTGGATCCCAGGCGAGAGGGGAATGTGGGGAGTAAGGCATTGTAGCAGCAGGAGAAGGGGAGCCCCAGCAGAGCCCGTAGTGTTCATGGGGTGGGAGGAGGGGAGGGGAGAATCGGACCCCATGCGAGAGGCGCCGGCGCCGACCCGCACCAGTGGGGTCTGGGAGGAGGGCACGACTGGGACCAGCATGGGGGTGTCGAGCTGCCCTCCCCTCCGTGAGGCAGCTGGGAGGTGTGCAGTGCAGCCGGGCAGGTGTAGAGGTCAGAGAAAGTATTTACAGTGTAATGCAGGGGGGAGCCCCCCTCCCTGGAGCCAGGGATGCACAAACCGTGGCTCCCTCCCGGTGTCGGCAGCAGCAAACTCGTGTTAAGACTCCTGACAAGAGGGCTTCCCCGGGGACCATTAGCTGTCCTGCTCCGATGGAGCCGCTTTCTTCCTGGTCCGGCTGCGCAAGGGCCGGGAAGAGCCCTGGGCAGGAGGAGGGATGGGTTAGGTCCCCTTCGCCCCAGCCCCACGCCACTGCGTTCCCCGCCACGGTACCTCTTTTCCCGGTATTTTCTTCTTCACTGCACGCAGGCTCTGGCTGCGGTATAAGGGCTTGGGGTCTCGGCCACGGGGCGAAGGCTGGGGGGAGACCTGAGAGTCCGACCAGACCTCCTCATCCTCCATCTCGCTCTCATACTGCCGGCCGGCCAAGGGCATGCTGTAGGCTGGGGACAGGGGGAGGGCACATGAAAGCTTCCAGCACGGCCCCCCCACGGGCCTCGTTCGAGCCCCCCCCACTGTGATTCCCCCCCAACCCAGCTCACCCAGCAGCTGGCTGCGGTTCTCCTGTTCCTCCAGGTACAGGGGGTCCTGGTAGTGGACGGGGGTCTCGTCAGGGACGGAGCGCAGGTCCTGCATGCTGAAGCTGCGGAGCCGCCCGGCCAGCGCACCCTGGCTCTGCGAGGTGGGGGGGGAGACACGACACAGAAAGGATGGAAGTGAGCCCCACAGGGCAAACCCCAAAGCACCGTGGCACCCGAACATGGGGCCAGGCACCAACAGAGCAATGCAATCCCACCAGGCAAGGCTCTGCACCCAAAGACCCCTCTCCTGACACCCGCACCACCAAGGCCTCCCATGCTGGGGTGGCAATTTCCTCCCAGGATCCCTAGGAACGAAGCATCCTCAGGGAAGCGGAGCAGCCCACCCCATTCCCGGTACCTTGGCAGCCGCCTGGACCGCAGCCGTGGCTGCCAGGTTGAGGCCCCTCTTGCCGAAACGCACCACCGTCTCGTAGCTGCGCTCCTTGGCCTGGATGATGTACGTGTCGATCTCCTGCCGAGACAACCGCGGCGGTGCTGGGTGGGCACAGCACCAGGTCCCAGGGCATTGCCAGTCCAGCACCGGGAACCCAGGGTCCTTCTCGGCGGGCTGAGCCCCCCTCAGGGCGCATGGGACCCCCCCCCCCGAACCAAGCAGCTTTTACCTTCTCTTTGCGGGACAGTGTGGGGTGCACGAATTTGCGGTAGAGCAGGCTGGCCCCCCGGGTGTAGGGGGAGAGGAGCCAGATGACGAAGGCCATCTTAATCTCATAGTAGAAGGGAAACCTGCCGGAGAGGGGGAGAAAATGGGGTCCCCACGGCACAGGGACCCCATCAAACCCACTCCCGCTCACCCCGCAGCAGCAGCAGCGCCCGCACACCAGCCTCACCAGGAGATGAGCAGGTCGGTGAAGGTCTCTGTGGCCATGAAGAGTGCAAAGACGATCCAGTACATCATCCAGCGGACCTGCGGGGAGCGGACAAGCCTCTCAGCCCAGGGCCGAAGCCTGGGAAGGAGCTGCCCAGGCACCCTACTCACATATTCCCGGATGTTTTTGGTCTTCACAGCCTTGTAGGAAGCGTAGGCAGGGTACAGCATCCCGAAGACCAGCCTGTAACGAAGAGGGGGGGTGAGGCATGCGGGCCACCTCACATAGAGCAGCAGCAGCAGGGAGCAGCAGAGCTGCCTGCCCCAATGCCGCAGCTTGGCCTTAAGCCCTTCCAGCACCATGCCGGCCCCAGAGCCACCGAGAAAAGGGGACGGCACCGCCTGGGAGAGCCGGCTGTGAGCACGACGTTGCTCCCACGATCTTGTCCACCTCCGTGGGGACCGGCCCGACCTGTCGAGGCGGTGGCAGGAGGCACGGCACAGGTTTGGCGTAGGTGACAGCCAGCCGGGCCCGACCAGGAGAAGCTCAGCTCCCTCTGAAGGCAGGATCATCCCTGCCGGAGTGCGATACTCAATGCCGGTGCCAACCTCCCTCCCGGCACGCAGGACCTTGTCATCCCCGCAGCACGTGGGTGAGGTGCCATCCCCAAACACGTACCTCCTGGCCCGGTGACTCAGCCGATGCCGGCCCGGTTGCGGGGTACGGGCAGGGAAATCGCCTGCCTGCAGCGTGGCATCACGCCTGCCTTCGGTCAGGCTTCCCTCCCCCCGACCACCTCCTGCCTTAACCTGACCTGGGGAAACGGGGCCGTGGGTGCCCCCACCCCTCCTTGCTGCCCACCCCCCCCGCTCCAGGGCCTCCTTCTCCCCACGAAGGGCACGCTTGGCCACCGGCCACCCAGCCCAGCTGGCCACGGCGTGCGAGCCAAGGGAGCAGGAGCGTCTGGGGGGGGGGGGTCAGTGCTGGACACAGGGACCCTCCAGGTGCTGCAGGGACCCCAGGCCCCCCTCGGCCGCCCCCGGGTTGGGGGGGGGGGGTCATCAGCTCGGGGACCAGGACACTGACCCATTTCCAGGGGGAGGGGGGCCCTGGTTGCCCCCATACAAGCACATCCCGGCTCACA